GACGATGGTATTCAGTTCACACCACCAATTTGGTGATTTCGCCCGTGGCTCCGCGTCGTGTATACCACTTCTCCGTCTTTCTGTCCACAGTTGAATGGTGGAGCTTAGTTCTCAGATTGCTTTAATTTCACCCTGGCCAAAGCAAACGAAGAAAATTCAGTGTTGCTGCACTTCAGGGCAACGCCAAGACCATGTCCTTTTAGTCACTTTCAAAAGTTATAGTAAGCGGGCGGTTACATGCGATGCAATTCTACCATTCCACTTGCTGTTAATCAGCGACGGAAGGGTTGTCGGCGTTCCCATCTGGGAGCCGTGTACTTGCGAGAAGCTATTGCTTACGTCAAGAGGAACGAATGGAATCTCTGGATTTCTGTTCAGCAGACCTTGAGGACCACAATGCAACAAACACCTCAATCTACTTTCCCGCACCTTTGGTCCAATGGGTTAAACGTTGTCAAAAAAACTTGTAAGCGCCTGTATAAAGCTACACGTTGAATATGCCCTGCAGGCTCTGAACCCCTAGACTGAGAGATTGCAGACTGCTGTAAAAAGGATGTATCTGTAACCTATCCTACACCGAAAGACCAGTGGTGCCCAGTTTGTGTTTAGTTGCCCACCTGAAGATTGTGCATCAGTTCAGTGACTTAGACTGCAGGCACCTCTTCCTTCTCCTGATCTGCCACTCTTGAAACCCCCTACACTCCGCCATGGTCTCAACACCAACAGGCCTGGACTTTCACTTGTTTAATGCTTGTGCACTGTCGATCGTAGGGTGTTATCCACCGCGGGATGCGAAAAGCTCAAACTCAGAAGTCCTGCGTTCACCAAATGGGTTCATTGATCTAGCTCTCTGAAGACATGGCAAGTGCTGCTTCAGACGCACGCTTATCTCATATGAATCACTTCCCGTATAACTAATCGTCATCATTGACAGCATGACATCAGTGTCCAACACTGATCCCTCGCTGCCATACACCCACTTACCACTGACCAATAAAGAGCTGGTAACAGACAGTTGATTTTGCCCGATATTTGGGTGGTTTGATCGTCGAACGTCTCCGGTTGCTCTCCCAACCTCGCAACAATTTTTCAACAGGCAAAGCTCCATCTTGTGTTCATTCGGACTGCTGGAGGCCTCTTCAAGATCTGCCGATGAAATTAGCGAAGGTTGATTGTCAAGCGGATGCAAATTCACTCAAGAATTTCTCCGTGGTCACAATAATGAAAACCGATAGAAGCCTTCCAGTTATCATTCGTAGCAGGATGAGAAGACAGTCGTTTGATACCGAGCCTGTAAACAGTGCCAATGAATACCAAATAACTCAACCTAGTAATAATGTATTGACTGTCGAAATCAATCCTAATGATGCTGTAGGGGACAAGCTCCGTAGGTAAACTATCTTAAAATCGCCTAATGAAGAAAATTCCAAGCTCTTATGTCTGCACTTCAACAATGGCCGCATCCAGTCAGCATCAGCAGATGTGGTGTATGAAAGGAAGTTCAGCAGGTGGTTCTGCTGAACCTGTTTCAAATCAGGATATGAGAGCTTCTCAGTAGCTAGGTGAGGTCTTCGCATCTTGTGCGCCCCTTGAAAGTTCAACGAAGATCAGCAATCAACAAGCGCTTGATCCGAATCCACACGGGTGTTCCAGAATGGACGACAGTCGACCATTGACCCACGTTATCTGTATTAAAGGTTGGCTGGCATGCGGGAGCTTAATGTGTCCAAGCGGCTTTGGTTGTTTTGGAAGTTAATACTGCACAAAGAGTTTGTGGTCAGTATATAACTCCAGCAGACGCTTGCTCTTGTCCGTACGTCACGAAACCGGTCCGAGATGACCATCCAGTTGAGCTTTATCAGCGCTAAGTCTACTTGCGGGGGCGAGATGGCCCAAGTGGTTGGTGCGCGAATTTACTGGCCGGAAGGTCCGTGGTTCGAACCCGACCTCTGCCTCCCGAATTCCCCTGTCTAGGCCTGGGCAACCCGACAGCATCCCACCCTCGTGCAACCTTCGGGTTCCATGACTGCTAGGCACCGAAGGGGTGTTACAGCTTAGCGACTTCGGTTTCGATTAAGTCTACCTGCTTGGCATCCACAGCCCCGGCAACCACAACAATATTTGTCTCTTGGTCCGCCGTAACAAAACACTCAGGACGTCATAAAAGCTTTCTCTCTCTCTGAGTGTACCAGACCCATAGTCTGTTGTGACATAAGCAGACACGATGAACAAGCAAATCATTGGTGCCTTTATGGGGATCCCTTACAGATGTTGCCAAACAAATCGCACAGTGGGGACTATCAACGGACAGCTACTGAGCTTGGTAGCGCAAAACAATGCCCACCCCAGCAGCAGTTGTCTCAATGGCTCCCTGATCAGCAGAAGTGTATCACCGGAAGCAAGATCAAACCAATGGGGAGGTCAGTTCAGCAGCCATATATATATCAGTAGAAAGCACATCTTTCTTACCTAAAAGGGCAGGTATTTCTGACAACTGCAATTGATGGCGAATGGAACTGTCACTTTTTAAGAGTAGACTTAGAACGATATCGCCGACAACCTGTAAAGGAGCAAAAGAACGTATATGTGAAGAAGCAACGGAGGCGTCAGAAGTAGTTCCTACTTACCCGCCACGTTGTATTCAGTAAGGCTACTCGGCTGATTACATCATGCGACGACCGATGCGGCATGTGATGAGTCGTACTTGCGCAGTTCATGGTTGTACTTTCGCTGCGATACTTCCATCGCCTCCAAGGCATGGCTGTATACCTTACACTCTCGTTTTCCGGTGATCGAAGCTCTATAGGCTTTAAGCGATATACCTAGTGTGCATGGTTTATAGTTGATTAATTGAATGATTGAAAACAGCGTTTGTTGGTAGAAGACCGTCATTGCAGTCCTCATGCTTAGGAAAAGTCGCCACCCAAAACATGAAGGACCAAGAGATTGTGTTGATCACAACTCTACACATTGACCAACCTGATATACGAGGCTCTGTGATTACCGCACGAACACCTCTCAGTATAGCTCATTGAGTTATAGAGGCGTAAAAACTACCAAATCCCCGTAAGGTTCAGTCTTGATAAAACTGAAAAATATCAACCCGTATTTTCTTGGAACGAACAGGTACGACTGTCACTTTATTCGGTCTAGTTTACAATATGGTGACCGTCTTTGTGGAAAGGACGCGTCGAATTCATGAATACATTGAGTCGCTGCTTTCTGTCAAAAGCGGTCAAATTTATACTGTAGCTTCCCCAGGTTTTATTCCGTTGCATGGTTCAGGAGATGGCTTAGGATCTCGAGTTCAACGGCTCTCCTAATTCCCAACATCCGACTTTCAACAGTCATTGGGCTATATAACAATATTGTTTATCCAGGGTGTGACTGGACCATGGCTGACAATGTCTCCGACCACTAATGTGGTCCATCTCGAGGTTGGCACCCAGGCAGACGGCAACGACCAGCGCAGCTGAGTTTACTGGTGATGGCATCTATTCTTCGCTTCCAAGACATTGCTTGACTTTCCATGACTCGTTTCCACCATTCACGTGGTTGTGTGAAAAGAATCCTTCGAGGAAGTCGGTCAACTGGCATACGCAGCACGTGGCCAGCCAACGCAGCCTATGCAATGTGATCAGTTCATCTATTGTGGGCAAGTTATTTCTCCCGAATACCATTCGACCCACTTCAGCATTGCTGATCCGGTGTTCCTACCAGACTCGGACAGTGCTCTGAAGACACTGAAAGTCTTTTGACGTCCTCGGCGCACAGCGGCCAGATTTCTGACCCGTATACAAATGTAGAGCGCGCCGCAGAATTGTAAACTCTGCCCTTAACGGATAAGCTGATATCACGCCTGCGCCACGGGTGACGCAAGTTCACAAAGCCGCCCTGGTCTTCATAATCCGGATGGAAATATCATCTTTCGCGAGACCACCGGGACTAATATAGACACCAAGGTAAACAAATTTTCCTACTTCCTCAATCGGTTCATCCGTACGCATGAGAGTCGGGTTTGAGTCCATCCAGTCTTGCAGTAGCAGTTTACACTTTGCCGGTGTGTAGTGCATCCCAAACCGTGAGGCGGAATTATTTAGATTATTTAGTATCGTTTACATTGCCACGGTGTTAGATCCAAAAAGAGCTATGTCTTCGGCGTACTCCCTACCGGTGAGCGGATGCTCCGAGAGCTCTTCGACCCCACAGGCACTGGAGGCTGATAGTGAATCTTCCATGATTGTATCACTGACGTAGTCGAGGAGAAAAGGTAAAGGGGGACAGTCCTGTCTGAGGTGTTAAATTCAGAAGAAAGCTTCACACGGCCGCAGGAGTTGGAGTACAGCACTTTAAGGAGGGCCAAGAATTTATGGGGGACACATTTGCACTACAGACACTGCTATAGTACTTGACGGTCAAAGGCAGCTTTTGGATCAGGAAATGCAACCATTGTTGGTTTCTGGAAGCAGTGTCGCTGTTCTAGAATCTTTCGGAGGGTTAAGATGTAATCATTGTATCCTGTTACGGATGCGCTGATCGGATCTATCTCTCCCTGTGCTCAGTCAACCTTCGAAGGATAGGATCAGAAAGGTTGGTCAATGGCTGAAGACCTAATCAGCATAGTTTCCTGGCTATCCAGGTTGGGGGTTGGAACACATGTGGTAACTTGTTCTATAAAGATGGTAATCCAATTGCATTTCCTGCCAAACACCGCTACCTTACGGTTAGGATTTTGAGCCAAAGACTCTGGTCGAGGACGCTAACCGTTCTCTTCCCTAGTTGTGGGCGCCATGGCAGTATCCCAAACCACGTACAACCATGGTACAACTAACAATGCTCTCGTGCCACATCTGCCGTCGCATGGTGCTATCAGCCGGGTCGCCTAGCTTGCTGCATACAGCAGGACTGGTTGGCGAAAACTGCCCACGCCTCCTTTCTCATACCTTCACGTTTGTCCTCTTCTACCTTGCCTCATCCAAATGTAATTATTCTCTTCGCAGATCCCCGGAACTAGAACCGGCCTTTTTGCTTGCCATGCATCACATTCAACTGCAGCTCCTGTACGTCCAACACTTCGAAGCCTTTTCAAACCCCGTAAGCTGTCTACTTGACCGCCTTCAATGTTCGCACACTGAATCAAGCAGGACAACAGGTGGCCGTTGCTCGTACACTGGAGTCCCTCCGTAGTGATATATACTATCTGTCAAACAAGGATACAGGACGCAATTACTTCGATCGAACTGACTGCCCTCTTGCCCTCCTCCCCGTTCTGGCTGCGCATCTGTGATGAGGCAGAGGCCGCTGCAGCTGGATATGCTGGATTGGGCATTGTCTTGGGCGGTCGATCGGGAGCGTCTCTACTTGACTGGATGTTCACTGATAATCGCCTCTCCGCGGTTCGTTTGACAGCGTCTGTGAGAGAACTTATAGAGAGTGAGATCTATCGCATCCTGTTTATTTTGTCTGCCTACGCCCCAAATGACTGTAGCTCTGAGTCTGCCTAAAACAGTTTCTATGACGCTGTAGTTGCTCTTTTGCAAAGGGCTAAAAGCTCAGATTTCGTTATGGTTGCTTGTGACATGAAGGTTGAGGTAGGTAGACGAAACGCTGTCGGGGCCCGATTGGGTGGTCCTCTTTGATCGGACACGGGACGCACGGACAACTGAGATCGCTTGCTTCAGATGTATGACGATCACAGACTGTTCCTCTGTAGTACCGATTTCCGGAACAGTGGAAATTGCTTGGAAACGTGGTGCCCACCAACGAACCAGTCCCGAATCCATATTGACTCTATCACCGTCAGTTATCGGTAACGCGAGTGGATCAGTATCTGTCTCTCCCTCAGGAACATCAGTGTTGACTCCGGTCATTCGCCTGTACGCTGCTGTTTTTTATTTCGTTTTTCAGGTCTGCGCAAAATGCGCGCACCCTGCTTAGTCTATGAGATGCCAGTGGATACATAAATCGAACGCAAATATCAGAACCGGTCCTTCAAACGCCTGCTGGTCTGTCCAATGTCAGATATAAACGGCCACTGGGAGAACATATCCAAAGTGCTACTCAGAGCCGGAACTTCTGCTTGCGATACAACCCAGCCAGCCTCATCCAAACACAGGGTATCTGATGGGACCATGTCTTTGCTGGAAACCCGGTAACAGATTCCCTCTGGTCACAACCACAGCCCCACCCGACGCTTCATCTGATGCTAGCTAAAACTGAGTGTCCATGCAGACCGAGAAGCTTGGTGGACCCGAAAGGCCGAAGAAATGAAAGATTTGAAAAATATTTATTGCGTTAGGAGGGTTCACCATTAAGTGAACCACTGGATCTTAAGGGTCGCATGTATCAGGCTACAGTAAGGGCTGTGTTGTATGGCGAGACTCGGCCTCTGCGGATAGATGATGTGAGGTGTCCTAAGGTTTTTGACGCCTCAGAAGGGTTGCTGGTTTTGGACGGCTTCAACAGATTGTTAAAGAGTTTATTAAGAAACGGGTATTTGGTTGTGCAACAGGTGTTTCAATGGAGGCAATCATCAACGCCATCAGCCGTGGTGACTTGGTCATGTGAAACGCCGTCTACCGATACGAGTGTTGCTCTTCGTGCCTCCCCATCATCATGAACATCATGACATCAGTGTTCGACACTGATTTTTCGCTGCTATGCCTCCAGAATGGCGAAAACCGCGAGGTAAACAACATATGACTTGGCAGAAAGATATGAAAGAGTTTGGGTGTTGTATGTGGTACGCCTTCCAGAATTGGATCCCCGTGACCCCGCCTGTGATTGGTTGGATACATTGCAAGAAATGGCAGCTTCTGGATGTCATTGGCGGCCGTGTTGTCGGCTTTCTTTCAGATTGTCTGATTGAGCGTTTTGGGGTGTAGACTAGCACTAGTTTCCCTCCTTAACCCACCCTTTTTCCTTTCTTTTCACTCTAAGGCTTTATGTATAATTATATGAGCTCTGGTAGTACAGCAGTGAAGCATCGTTGGCAACACTGATTTTGTTTTCCCGATGATGGTGATGATGATGATGGCGATGATGATGGTGATGATGATGATGATGGGCGCTGTTTCTATGGTTGATAGTCCTGAGACAGTACCTGTCAGGGAGGTTTTTAGTTCAACAAAAAGTAAAATAAATATAATCCAGTGTCCAATCTGTGGGCGTCGTCATTTTTTTCATCTTCAGTCTGATTTCGCTTTGCTTCCCCCTTATCACTATCAACACAACCCCTTAATCTCAAAGTATTCTTTCAGGTCATCGAAACTTCCCTTGGCAAGTTCGGAACTGTATTAAAGAGACTCGACTGTTTTTTTGCTACTGTGCGTGAACGAAATTTCGAATAAAACGACTATGGGCAAAGGACATAAGAAGCGGAGCAGCAGCAGTAGTAGTAGTAGCAGCAGCAGCAGGTATTTCTCGACCTTCACGTCCATTTGTTTAGCTCGTCTGGCGGCGGCCATTGTAATCCGAACAAGATGTACAAGAGACGAGCGAAGTACGAAGCCAAAATGCGGAAGGTATCTTGAGTTGCCTTCAGTTTACTTCAGGCTGGACGCTGTGTTTGTCGTCACTGTCCACAAGGAGTCATGGCCTGCCAGGACAATTTCATGAAGAAATACCAAGTAAGGCTTTTCAACTCGTGCAGCAGTGTCATAAATCTCCTAGTGGGTTTACCATAACCATTATTTTAATTGTGTTTTACTCACACAACGAACTAGTGATGATACATCTCTCGATGGGTTCATTCTGGATGGCGGCAAAAGAGAGAAACACCGTCCTTCCGCAACGAAATCGGACAACATGTCGCTTTTATCTTCAAAAATAATTTAGAGGATGCTTTCTTTGCTCCGCTAGTGAAAGGGTCGGCGGGGTTGTAGAGATAGCTACAAATCCAGTGAACCAAAACAGTGGTTCACATTTGTCAACCTAAGTGGGAAGAACCGTACAGCCGAGACACCCAGTAAATGTGAGGGATGACCAGGCTATTCGACCCACTCAAATGGCTGACTCAGGACTTGTTCATATGGCTAGCTATTGCTGTTCACTCGCCAGTTTTGTATGTAATATTATTTTGGCAACAGCCTGCATGCAGGAACACCTGATGGTGCGACTGGGTCATTTCCGACTGTCTCTGACCGTTGGTGTGTCCCGTCTTGGGGTCCACACCCGCGGAGCCAGCAATGACCAGCATAACTGAGTTTGCTGGTAATGGCATCCATTCTTCGCTTCCAAGTCGTTGCTTCACTTTCCATGAGTCGTTTCCACCATTCACGTGGTTGTGTGAAAAGAATCCTTCGAGGAAGTCGGTCAACTGGCATACGCAGCACGTGGCCAGCCAGCCTAACCTATGCAGTGTGATCAGTCCATCTATTGTGGGCAAGTTATTTCTTCCGAATACCATTCGACCACCGATGCCTCAGAAGCGTGGCTGGTTTTGGATGGCCTCAGCGTGTCAGTAACGAGGCGATTAGAAAACGGGTA